CATGAAAGGAGTAGATTCTCCATTCAGCCTCAGGTCATTACTGGAGTATAGAGTACAACAAGTACATTTCTGCTCATCAGGAAGTGTGGTCTGCATCTGTAAAAACCAAGAAGGGGAGGACAGGTACAGAGGGGATGGAAGAAGAGCGCCCCAAGAGAGGAAGAAGAGCACAATTGTTCTGACTATGCCTGGGTTTGACACACAGCCCCCATGTGAAGCAGCTTCAGTCCCTCTCCCTGTAATTCCCAAGCTTCCTGCAGCACCTTCATCCTTGTCTCACCGAGTCCACAAAATCCTCTCTGCTGGGAAGCAGCAAAGGGGACTCGTGGAGGAATGAACGACCCAGTGAAAAACCCTCCCTCTGCCCTGCCTCAACTGCTGCCTGAGGCAGTCAGAAAACTACAGGCCTCTTGTGCTGACCCCATTTCATCTCAAGTTGCTTGAATAGCATCCTTTAGCCTAGCAATGAAACGGTGAAGTGCTGGCACACCCTGGCCCCAGAGTGGCAGCACTGACACTAGGGATGTCAGTGTTCTAATACCAGGAGCTGCTGCCAACTCTTAAACAATGCTCAGGCGTGACAGAAGGGACCAAGGAGCTTTCCAGCCCCTCAGGCCAACTGCTTCCCTGGGATAAATCCTGCCAAAATGTTTGCCTGAATGCGCAGGACTGCAGTGATAGAAACAAAAGTCAACCCAATTCCGAAAGCCTCCAAGACCAGAGCAGTGAGAATCCAGTTAAGTGTTAACCATCCTTGCAGTCCAAACCTGAATCACCATCCATCCTTCTCTAGTTCTGTCTGAGTTTTCTTATCTCCAGCCAGGCTGGATGGGACTTTGGGCAACCTGGTTTAGTGGAAGGTGTCCCTGCCTGTGGCAGAGGGGTGGAACTGGATGAGCCTTATGGTCCCTTCCAACCTGAACCAGCCTGGGATTCTCGGTGGCAGCAAGTTGCAGAGCTTACTGTTCTGTGAAGGTTTTTACTTCAATTAGGCTAAAATGTGCAGTGTCTTGTTATTAATTCCCTGCAGCGATTGGCAGAATGGCATGAGGAGCTGTAGACAGGGTCTATTCTTCTTGGTAGCTGGGGTAAATGACCACTGAAGGCAGCTATCCCCTAAAGATGCTGTTGTGGTGCTTTCTATTCCCTCTCCCTCTCTGCTACCAGTGTGCAAGCAATTCCTCTTGAAGTCAAGTAAAATGTCCTTGCAGGTAAAGCCCAGCTCAGCTGGAATGAAAGTGAGCAGTGATTTGTTCACTGGGGCTCAGGAGAACAGCGCGAAGAAGCCAAAAGGGATGCAAGCCTTTGAATGCAAAGGAGAAACACCCTGTGGTTGCTTGTGTGGGTACATGGGTGAGGTGAGGTTTTGAAGATGAGGTTCAGATACAGCATCTCACCAGGAAAGGTGAGACTTAACGTGACGTTTGCAGGTTGCCTGCTGTTCTGGTAACAGCACTAAGTGTGCTCAGCTCTACCTTGAGTTAGAAAGAGAAACAGAGAGGGACCACATGCCTGGGAGCCACAAAAGAGCCCCCGGGGGAAGCTGGGCAGATGTTGTCCTTGCAGCAAAAAGCAAGCGGTCCCATGGCTATGTATTTAGAGCCGTTTCTAAGTTTTCCTGCTCCTGGCAATGATTTTGACAACAGAAAACAGAAAAAGGGTTTGGCTTTTGGAGAAGTTTGGCTTTGCAGCCTTTGGAAGGGGTTCTTAAAACTCCATGGCTGAAAAGTAATCTGGCTGCGAGCTTTTGCTCGTCCAAGCTGAAAAGCACTGCGGAGAGGGAGAAGCAATGAGAGATGCTTTAAAATTTCTACTCTGAAAATTCGATTTTAATTGGAAAATTGATATCTGCTGTGGGAAAACTTCTTGATGGAAACACACATTTCTGTGGAAAAGCTCTCAGTGCCCAACAGGGGATGCGATCACCCAAGCTCTGAAAGTCTGAAATGCAGGCAACCAGCTAGAGAAACGCTGCTTGCTTTTACAGCCTGGTGTAATGGGCTAATCCCTGTTCACTACGCTTGTCCTTATAAAGGCTTTTGATTCCTCTCTTTTCATAACTAACAGTCCGTTTTGACATGCAGTGTTTTGACTCTAAATTCAAGAGACAGTAGGGAACTTGATATCAGAATCTTATTTCTTTAGAGAAAAAAACAGCTCTTGTAAAAATTAAATATTTTGAGGGAAAACATCCATCTTGCCAGACAAAAAACCCCAAACTTTACAGCATTATTTCCTAGTGGAAAAAAAAATAAATTTAGCAAAACACATTATTTTCAGCATGCTTAAACTTACTATTGTTTGGCCTGTCAAGCCCAACTCAAGTATTAATTTGCAGTTCTCGTCTGCCTTGAACTGCATCCACATGCAGTGACCATTATTAAGTCCGGATGCTGATGCCTCGTGCCCTTGTCCCCATTTTGGCACAGCCCCCAGGGGCTGGCAGTCCTGTCCCTGTGGTGTGTTCTGGCTGAACCACCACACCACATCACATTGCACAGCACAGAGCAAAGCCTGCTGGGGATCCCAGCCCACAGAGGGGAGCAGGGATGCGAGGGCACAAGATTCCCATGACAGAGGCTTTTTCAGGAAAACCCACTTGTGAATGGGATCTAGCTTTGGGAACAGCACAGTAAGATTAATATGCAATAGTTGTTCTAGTTCTGATTTATATTGAGAATAAGTTCTTCTCTATGAGGGTGCTGAGGCGCTGGCACAGGGTGCCCAGAGAAGCTGTGGCTGCCCCATCCCTGGCAGTGTTCAAGGCCAGGTTGGACACAGGGGCTTGGAGCAAGCTGCTCCAGTGGAAGGGGTCCCTGCCCGTGGCAGCGGTTGGAGCTGGATGAGCTTTAAGGTCCCTTCCATAATCTGGGATTCTGCATTCAAAATAGGTGACACGATGCATCTTACATACTCAGCAGTGCCCAGTGGAGCATTCAGCACCCGAACTGGTTCACACTCGAGTAGAACGCTTGTGGCTGATGCATACAACCAATGAGGTGAGGCAATGCTGGTGTGGTATTGCATCAGCACATAAAGATAACTGGAGGTGATCACTGATCTTTGATCAGATTCATGGTCTCCTCACAAGAACGCATACTCTCAAAGCACGCTATTCTGGTGTTGAAGGTTCCCCAGGATTTAGAGGGTCTGAGCTAAAGGAGTTTTGAGGACAATAACAGAATAGTAACGCATCTTCTGCATCTTCAGCCCCTACAATTTACTTCTTCACAATCACTGAGAGTCCTGGGTTTCTTTTCCTGTTCTGGGGCAGGCTGAGGGGCTTCATCTTAGAGTGACAGCACTGTAACTCTCCTCCAGACTGCTCACCGTGCACTGCCTTTACGCCCAATGCAGAGGAAGATGCTACGGTGTAATTGTTTTTCTTCTCAAGATAATAATCTAAACCAGATCAGATCACTCACACACTAAAAACATCTGTTCCTCTCCATTTACTGTAAGGGGAACCTTAGAGGATAGGGCCACATGTAGAAACCCTGCTTTTGCAGATACCTCCAGTTAAATGCAACCACTACTAATCAGACTCCCACTTTCAGGAGCAATAAGGAAAAGAGTGACCCCTACAGCTCAACCTCTTCCCAGGCCCGCTGTCCTGCGAAGGATTTGCTTTCTCCCTTGCTCACATAATCCTGCCAGAAACAGTGACAAAAACCAACCAAACTTGTTGCAGTCGTTTTGGATATCTGGACATACAACTGCCTGCATCACTGAGGCTGGAATTTGACTGCTGAAAGCTCAAGGAAATGATGGTTCCAACCCAATCATAAAATACAGGAGTTCTGGTAAGATTCCTGTCCCTTCCTGGACTTAGAGGACTTCAGTAGCTAAGGCACTGCACACACAAACATGTCCGAGTGAGCATCACGGACCTGTGTGTACAGCCAGGCACGTTTGCCTGGGAAGAGACACATTAAATTGCTGCTACAAACAGCTCCCCCTGACAGCATACAGGGCCACCTCCTCCATGCTGCTACTTTCAAAAGCTCATACCATCATGTCTCCAACCCATTCGTGCCCCTCCAAGCTAGGAATATCAGCTCTTATTGAATCACTGAATGCTCCTATACCCATTGAATGTCAGCCCCTATACTCATTGTCACGTACTCACTCCTCCTATGCTCATTCCCAAGGGATCAGAGCAGGCTGGGTGGGACTGGGACCCAGAGCAGCATGAGCGCTTCCAGCACACGCCCGTTTCCCCCTGGCGCAGCTCGGTGTTATCCCCTTGCTGTCCACCAGGTGGCGCACGCTCCCGCCGGGCGCACACCGGGCAGCGGGCGGCGCGGGGGGGCTCATTGCGGAGCTGCCCCAGCAGGTTCCTTGCCCTGGCTGCCCTCAGGGTGGGCACGGGAAGTTTTACACCTGTACAAGCGGTTTCATGGGTGCGTTTTACAACGAAACGCAAGAGCACAAATGAGGTTCTGGGGCTGCCGAGGCAGGTGCTGCGTGTACCTTATGCACACCATGGAGTCTTCTAAGCGATGATCATCCTCCTCCAGCCTGGCCTTGAGCACTGCCAGGGATGGGGCAGCCACAGCTTCTCTGTGGCAGAACCTCACCACCTTCACAGGGAAGAACTCCTTCCTTATCTCCAACCTCAACTTTCCCTGTTCCAGTCTGAACCCATCACCCCTTGTCCTATCACTGCAGTCCCTGATAAAGGTCCCTCTCCAGCATCCTTGTAGCCCCCTTCAGACACTGGAAGCTGCTCTGAGGTCTCTACGCAGCTTCTCTTCTCCAGGCTGAACAGCCCCAATGTTCTCATGCTCCAACATGTTCTATACAAGGTGTATTAAAACCTTTCACATACCTTGAGATGCAGCCGCCTCAGCAAGGGAGCCTCTCTTCCCCTGGGCCACCTAACACAACTGGCAGCAGATGAGTGCAGACCACAGGGGGGTAGGTCCCAGCACAGCTCATTTTATCAGCCCTTGGGGATTTAAGGGCAAATCCCGCCCTTGCCTCCTGCCAGGAAGCAGTAAGAAGGGGCCAGGTGTTGGGGCTGCCTTGTTCATGGTTGTTGTTCCACCATGCTCTGAGGGGAGGCACCTTGCTGAGGTCTCTGTAGAGGCTTAAGGTGGCAGGCAAGGCAAAGTAAGGTAGGGCTGGAGCTGAGAAGGGTCCCTTCTTCAGAGCTTGATGTCACCGTGAGCTGGGTGGGCAGACCTTGGAGATGGGAGAGAATGGAGCAATCGGGGAGATGGTGGGACCGGGTAGCTCCTGGGTTTGGGGACCTGGCAGGGAGAAGGGCTCTGCTTTGAGGCAGTGGGGATGCAGCCCTGCATTAGATGATCTTAACATCCTTTCCAACCCAAGCTATTCTCTCATCTCGCTATTTATCTGTACCTTAGCGACTTGCCCTGCTGCTTATTAAACTGAGATTTATCTGGCTGCACCCATAGAGCCATCCTCCTCCTCTCCCTGCCCCTATTGCCCCCTGGGGCCCCCCTGTGCCACCCTCACTCCTTGCCTGGCTTCCTGAGCGACTCCACACCTACAACAGCTTTTTAAGCTTCCAGTTGGGCAGGGAGATCATCCCCCTCGCTGCCACTGCTGTGGCTGAGGCTCTTTCATTGATGTAAATGCTAACGGTAAGGTCAGAAGCAGCCGTGTTGGTGGCAGGAGCCACCTGAACCCCAGTGATGCTGCCTGCTCTGCCACCGTGTGTCACCGCTTCTTGTGTGATCACTGCATGACCCTGGGACACGGGTATGCAAAAAAGCAACAAAAAAAACCACCAAAAATGACAAAAATAAAGAGCCCTGGCTGGCCCCCTCTGACACATCCCAGTGCAGGGCTGCCACAAGCCAGTGAGGTAAGGCAGCAGTTAGTAAGTAGAAGAAGAGCTCATCATTGCCCTCTCGCACTGACTGGGTGGCTCTTGGGTGAGGAGCTGGTGCTGGATGACTCTGGGTGTTGCGTCCCAACCAGAAGGTAAGTCCTGGCCAGGGTGGTGGGAGGGAGTTCAAGTATTGGGGGTTGTGGGGCAAAGAAGGCAGCAAAAACACTTCTGTGCTTGTCCCTAGACCGCTGCTACTGTTCCTGAAAAGTGGATGGCTTGAGGTATGGAAGTTACATGCTTTTGTCTCTTGTTCATATTTTTTTATCTTTTTTTCCTTTTTGTTGTTGGTTTTTTCTATGTTTTTTAATACTTTAAAAAATATTTTCTCTTCTCTTTTCTCTCTCTTCTCTCTCTTCTCTTTCTTCTTTCTTCTCTTTTTTCTATTTTTTATTTTTTTATTTCTTAATCTTTGAAAATCTATTTTCTTCTTTTTTAATCTTTCTCCTTTTTTGATAATTTCCCCTTTTTTCATATTTTTACTTTGTTCTCCTCTTTTCTCTTTTCCTTTTTTCTTTTTCCTCCTCCTTCTCTCTCTTTCCTATGTTATCTCTATGCTTTCCCATCTGTCACTGAATTCATCTTTCTCTAAACTTCTGACATTCAGCACTCCTCCCTGCCACACCTGCCAACACACCAACCCCTGTGTGCACGCACACACACACACAGGGATGCACACATGCTAACCATATTGCCGTGCCTGGTATCTTCCCCTCTAGTTTCTCTTCCAATCCTCAGAGGGAGCGATGGAGGTGGTTATGTTTGTAGTTTCTATTGTATATTTCTATTGTATTTGCCTAGTTGTCAAAGTTGGACAATTTTGTCTCCTGTTCTTTCCTATGAGCTTATTTTGGTTCAATCTCCTCTTCATATCAGAAACACCAGCATTTGTTCACTTGTACGTGCCTAGCTGTGAGACCAAGGAAGAATTTCTTTCCTCTATTGAGCCAACTTCTGTTCTTTGTAGAGCATCACCTAGTGTCTCTATGGCAGCCAGCACAGCGCTAGAGCTTGATAATAACACAGTGAACGTCAGGTGCTGGGTTCGCAGCCCTGAAGGGAGGGATCAGCACCATCTCTGTGGAGAAGCCACAGTAGAAAGGGGGCACCCTTGGGGGAGGACTTTCCCCCAGCAGCTACCACACTTGCAGAAGGACCCAACTCTCAAGGATGCAGCCCTTCGCATGTCTCATCACCTCCCCAAGCAAAGCTTTGTGCAGAGAACAGGAAAGGCAATCGGCCTTAGCGATACCGGTTGTTATTATGGAGTGAATGGCTGCCTAGGCCAAGAGCAAGAAGTTATTAACACCATGGGACTGATTGTTTCTAGCATTGCTGGGCTTGTAACGTGGTTTCTTCAGTTCACAAAGTTCTCTGCATCTCATTTCAAAGATGGAGAGGGCTTGTTGTCATCTCCCACTCCCCCTCTCTGACTTCCCCTTCTGTAGCAAGTTTGATAAGGACAGACAAAACTATTCTAAAGGTATGCAGGATTTGTATAAAAAGGCAGGTGAGACATTATTATCCTTAGATGAAGGTGTCAGTTTGTTGTGTGTTATTTGTGAAGCTGGGGGTGAAATAGGTCTTGTTTTGAACTGTAGTTCAAGCTGTAGTGCTGACAGCTGCCATGAAATTTTTGTATGAGGAAAAGGTGTATTTAACCCCCCTTTTTCTGCCACCCTTATTTTGTTTCAGCAAAACAATTAAAGTGAAGAAAATAACATGTTAAATAGCTTAATTATATAAATTGAAGAGAGTGCTGAACGTCACAGTCATGAACTTAGAGCATTCATTAACTTCCACTTCCAAGGCAGTCTTTGGTGTTAGAAGCACTTTAAAATGGTAGGGAAAACTGCAGCCAGGGCTGAACACTACTGCATGGTCTGGAAGGATAAAACCAGAGGCTGTACCTTGAAGCCACTTTTCCTACTTGCTCTCAGTGACCTCCAAAACAAAGCATTTCCTCCCCTCTGGCCAAACTTGGTATCCTCAGAGTTTCTCATTAACCTTTAATTAAGATGCAGGAAAGTTGGGAATGTGCTGTCAGTAGGCCTAGAGAACTACTGAAAAGAGGTCCTGCTGCCTTTCAGTGATTGAATTTCCCCTGGGCACACTGTGCATGCCTTACCACACAAAAATCGTGGTACATTCTAACTCTTTCAGATCGCTGGAAGAGCAATGACCCTTTCTGTGTGCTTTGTCTAATGTTAAACACCATATTCTTTATAGTCATTGCAAGTAATATGCAGGAAAGTAGAGAGAGTAAAGCTGATACATGAAAGAAAATGAAACTGCAACCCTGAATTCTGTGGAATGAACCAAATTTCCCCTTCTGCGTAAGTGTCAAGATTGTAGATATAAATTGCATTAATGAAACAGTGTACATTTGTTGAAAAAGCTAGTGAGCCTCATATGACAGAGATGTGTATCTATCTCGATGGTGCAAATCTGCCAAACCTCAATCTGCTCTTCAGCATCACTTGGTTATTTATATAAGCAACATTAAAAGCATTTCCAGCTGCAGAATCTTATTACTAGCAGACACATAGTAAGAATAGGGCATGCCAGCACAAGCTGCACTTTGCACCTGAAGAGGGAATTCAGGTACACATATTGGAACAGGAGTCATGCAGACAGTATAATGAGCCCAAAAGAGAGCAACAAAATTTTGTGCATTTTTTACATTTCCAGAAAAAAAAACCAAACCTGTTTCTTTGCTCTGTATAACTAATTCCCATGTCACAGAATTTGGACATAGGCAGCAGATTTGCTTCTCCAATTGAAAATTAATGATGCCTGAGAGCAGATTTTGCACCCAACATGCAAAATCTAGTACATAACGAGTAGAGAGGCCTGAGAAGTGTGAAATGTGAAATTCCAGTTTGCTGCATTCCTTCTAGTTGGGTGTGAGGATGAAGCTTTGAACAAAGGATGCTGGTCTTGTCATATCAGTGTAGCTGAAACACTCAAGTAGCTGCTCCTCAGAACTACTTATATATGAGGTATGGACATCTTAAACAAGATCATTGTTTTCAAATCCCTTCCATGTATAATATTGAAAACAATTAGTAGCCAGTTTGCTTTTGATTTAAGGACAGTGTTACAGTAAGTAACTATTTTGATTAAAAAAACTTGTGAGGATGTTTCTTGGGGCAAGACCAAGAAGCAAGCACTTAGAGACCACACAAAAGGTTGGAACCTCCTGTTTCTACAAGCAACAAATGCACTTACTGCATCATACAGAATACGAGACTTTATATTTTTCAAGTCTCTAGGTATGGCATTCTTTTTACTGCTCTAAATTTGAACTTTGCTGTGCTGGGGCTTATGACACATTACATTTCTTGGGGGCATTCAAAGATAAGTTGGGAGGAGGAAAATGCAGTTCATCATTGTACTACATGCCAATTATCTCATATGTAGCATCTCTGCTTATCAGAAATAATTATTGCAATAACTATAGGCTGACTTCCATGCCAGCATCAGTGCAATGATCTGCAGACATCAGGCAGTATTTCAGAAAAGACTAATGGCTCCAGGGTCTGATATTTCTGATTGCCAACTATAACGGGCTTCATTTAAAAAGACCACTTTTAAAATTCAGGGATCCTTTAAGATGCCCTTTAATAAGACTCAAAATCATTCCTTTTTCCCGTTCCGCCTTTAAAAGATGTCTTCTTTGCAGCAAGTTTTTACAAGTTACATTCAAGTGATGTTGAGTGGTAAAATCAAAATGTGAAGCGTGTTTTGTCTGGTTTGCAGTGCTGGTTTGCTGTTGTTGTTGAAAGGAAGCTTTCTGTTTGTCTTGGTTTTGATAATCCTTTGCAGCCACAAGAGCAGAACGCACTTTTCTCTAAGCAAAAGCTGAGGCACCTGCCTAATGAGGTAACTTCATCTAGCAGAGGATTTTGGAACAGCAAGTATTAGGAAAGCCTTATTAAGCTTCAGGCCTTTTTGCCTTGGTGACCCTGAAACATCTGTCCACTTGCAAGAGGTGACCCAAGGACCTCATCCCTGTGATTCCTGCCCTGACTTTATCACCGAAACACAAACCTCTAGAGCACAAGGGAGTTTTTGCTGTTCAGCCAGTCTCATTCCTGGTAACTGGTCTCACAGTTTCCCCCGGCTGCAGTGTTGTTCTCTGCTTCCTGGCTGGGTTATTGTGTAGTGTTGGTTTGATGTGTTCCCTTACTATGCTACCATGTCAATGTGGCTGAAGCAGCTTTGGTCTTCAGGGAGTCCAGGACTGGTCTCGTGCTC